AAGCGGTGGAGAGCCCGCCTAGTGGGGGACCGGCTCGGAAGCGCTTAGCGCTTTCAGCTTGTCTTCTCTGCAGGTAGCACAGGACCATAGCTCAGGGTCAAGAGAGGACAATAACCAGAAGAAACACACGACACCAACACCCCCCCCAACCAAAAAAAAAGAAAAAAAACAAAAGAAAAAAGACACACACCCACAATGAGTTACGAGTGGTTCACATTCAGGCCACCACAGGTCACTGCATCCTTTTGAGCTGACAGTTGAAAAATTAGCTGCTCTTCCTATTCATCTGAATGTGTTTGTGGTGGCCAACACTACAAAGCCCAGTCATCTTTGTGCTTCTACGTCAGGGCCTGGTACAGACCCGGGCCGCGTTGGGTGCCCTTCGCCCGCCGCAGCTGGCGCTCCGCCGCTGCCTCTGCTGCCGATGCCTGCGAAGCTGCAGTTGAGACAGCAAGAAAGGCAAGATCTACTATTTGCACAATGTAAACGATAGCTACTGCTATTTTGTACAAGGTAGTTCTATCATGGGGCTCCGCGAACTGGGCCACACGCTTGCTCTAACCGCAAGTCTACTGGCACCCAGCGGGACTCAGTGAACCAAGTTTTGCTCTTTCAGATGTCCGGCTCAAGATGCAGGTTGAGATCTTGAGGCGTTTGGGATCTGTCTTGAGTCCCTGGGGGGACCCTGACTCTGAACATGACGCAGCGGCAGATGAATGGCTGCTCATCACGGTCATGTGATGACACGATTTCAAACAAGAGCAGCTCATCTGGCAAGCTGCGGAATTTGTGCTTTGGTAGAGTGGGGCCACGGATTGCTTTTTAGCACCAAGCCCAAATAATGACGCAAATAACAAGAATAAGCTAGGTCTGGAGGCGATGGATCCAGTGAAGCTGCAGCCAGATGCTGATGGTGGCCTGGTGCATCTTCACAGATGGGGCGAAGCCTCAGCGAAATCAGGATGACTGTAGGTGTGACGCGATGCTTGCACTTGGGAGTAAGACCATCTTCGCTCAAACCACTGGGCTGTTTTGCTCACATCCTGCCTAGCCCTGACTGGATCAAGTTGTAAAACCTTAGAAATGTAGATGATGTTGCCATAGCCTGGCAGCAACCCAAATTCTTGCGCAACTCTGAGCAGGCCCCCCTCTTTTACTTCAGCTGCAAGGAAGGACTAACAAGATGTGGGTTGTTCTCAAAACTATGGGCCCCTTTCGGCTACAGATTTTATTACGGCACTTATTGTAATTTAGGGGTACCCAAATTGGACCCTGGTTTTGGGAACTACCCACGTGCAGGCGAGGGGCGCGCATCAGAGGCGGTAGCGCTGTGCGCCAACTGCCCTACGGCCATGGCTCTTGTTTGGAGAAGCTGAGCTTCGTAATTTTGAATTTGTTGTGTGTAGCATGGGATGGTAGTTTCCCTAGATAGGGGCACCCCAATGTAGACCCCAAAATACTATGACCGCTATTAATGGGGATCCCCAAAAAGGTACCCTTAATTTTGGGAGACCCCCAAATGTCGGATGTTGATATGCCTGGAACATAATTACGCCTCAGGTCTGCATGAATGGCTCGGCTCCCTTCGCATGAACAGGCGGGCGGTACATGGCCAAGGGATTCCAGAGCGCCACTTGCTCTCCTTTGGAGAAGCAGTGCTGCCCAACTTTTTCTGAGCCTGACAAGGCTAACGGCTCACGGCGTAGCAATTGCACACTCCGTTGCTACTAGGAGAATCCCCAGGCTTGACCACATTGCGTGAAGTTCTTGATTCGTGCGCAAACTGTCTGACATGACATTCCAGGCATAAGTTGGAGACACATCACTTTGCTGTGGTCTCAGTTGTTCCGACTCACAGGAAGTCCACAGGAAGCCTGTTGCGATAATGCGGAGGCATGATTTGAGCTCAAGGTTTGGCTTCCACACTTGCAATCCCAAGGTCCCAAAGTGACAGCCGCCTACTGCGAGGTGGTATTGGGCGTGAGCACGAACTGAGGTGGTGGTCAGGTCTGTAGCTATTCGCGAACATCATTCGTGATCCTGCAAGCTGGTGCTTAGAACCTCCCTGGCATCTTCCCTGATCAAAGGACAACTCTTTGCTCCGAAGCTTGATGCAGCATTCCGAGGCTTGCTGGTCTCACTGTTGCAGAACAAGCACTGGACCCAAATGCTACAGGTGCGCTTCATAGAACTTTATATTCTTTATAGTCACCTCGAGCACTCGAAAGCGATGTAGTAAGTACCAATCAGAGTCAGATGCGACTTTCGCGAGATGAAGAAGTGACATTGAGCAATTGACTTACCATTTTCTGTTGAGTTGGGAGGTTAGCAAGGGGCTCAAATCTAAATGTTTACTTACTTTTCTGGCCCTGCAGCAATTTCAGACAATACGGTTCTCTCTACAGGCCATTCTCAAGCACAAGCTCCGAACCCTCAACCCCTAAACCCTAAACCCTAAAGCCTAAAACCTGAACCCTAAACAAAGCCATAAGAGGCAGGGTCCCGGGCGGTGCGCTTGCGTGGCCCTGCTGCTGACAGGCCGGCAGTATTCCAGCCTCCGCCAAACAAAATCCTAGTTTTGCTTACTGGCGGTTTTAGGGAATAAGGAAATCTAATCCCTATAAAATCTCTATATAATATACCCTTATTCACTACTAACCCGTTCTGGGAGTAGGGCTTCCTAAAGGCTGGCGTTTGAAGCGCGTCAAGCTTTACAAAGCCCGTTCTCCCACTTGGCCACTTGAGGCCTTGCATGTTTGAAGTCGGGTAGGGGACTTTCTTTTAGGAAAACTCAAGCCTTCTAAGGTAAAGTGCCAAGAAACTTCACACGATATCAGCACTCGACCCCAATTATTAGGACCTGCGTCATCAAAAGAAGCATCCACAAACCCTAAACCACAATCCAGCCGTGCCTCCAGGTGCCAGGTGGTTGCCGGCCTCAACTGATATGCTTGCAGCTTTGAGGAGAAACCTATGCATATGGGCTATTCTATGTGGGGATTATATAGGGGTATATTCGCGCATTTCCTACTAAGAACCAATGACTTTGCTGTTGGGGCTTTTCTTTGAATTACAATGGGCCCTGAGTCTTCAAAGAAATATCATAGGCCCCGTTTCCTTGAACAGTTAGTTTAAGGCACCTAATAGTTAAGGGTACCAGAATGGGACCCTGATTTGGAAAGCTCCCCATCTTCAATCCCCATGGCCGTGCCTGTAACAATACCGTTACTGTATGGTTGCCCTTGAAGCAGTACCAGTCTAGTTTGGGAAAATACTTTCGGCGTGACAGATTTGACAGACTGATTCATGTATACGAATCGTGCTCAAATCAAGAATCAGTGGAGGTCGCAATCCATTGTAGAAGCCTGCATAATTATCAACAACATCATGGTCCGAGATTCCTTGTATAATGACTCAAATAGACCTCAAAGTAGTGTTGGTAATCATTTAAGGCCCTCACTTCCTGCCCGCGGGCTAGTAGGGAAGGAGGGGGAATACAATCTCTATATAAACCATATAGAATATATCCTACCAAGCCCCGTAAGCTATGGATGAATTCAAGCAAGTTTGGGCCTTGCTGTTCCGACAGTTTACTGCCCAAAACTGGTTGGGAAACCCTCTGGTAGCGTGCTGAAGCCCTGTAGACGACCTGCCTTAATAGAGGATCCCCTGGAACGACCGTCTTACCGGGGCTTAGTAGGCAATAAAGGAATACATTACATAGGGAGTATGTGGGAATGATGTACCCAAATTTCCCACCAGCTAACCACCAGTAAGCCCTAGTCTGTGCTGGACCTAAAGTTTCCAAGGAAAAGCTACGCGACACATCTCTTGTCCCACTTTTGTTTGAACCTCTGCCATGGAGAAAGTTATGAGTTACGAATGACTTAGGA